CTACTTAAAAATTGGCCGCAATTAATAAAATTAACATACATATAAATTATAATTAATATAAAAAAAGTTAAACATGTTTTTAATAAAATTACCACAAAAGTTAACAATAGAGCATCGAACATTTATCAAAATCAAGTTGAAATCGAGTTTACTTAATTTAAAGCGATAGTGTCTTTTAAAGCTCATTCCGGATTTCTCCAAGTTAAGATTTTAATCGTGAGCAAAAGCATTTCAGTATGACCTGTTTTGCTAGAGCGAGATCAGAGGAAGTAATATTATCGTCGCGTTTTCTAATTTAAAATATTTTCACGTCTCTGCTTTCATCAGCAGCCGACTTCTGTATCCCTGACATTATACTTTACTCGTGAATATAAGAAAGAACACTATCACGGAGGAAAGCAGAATAATACCAGAGAAGCTTTCATCATTTAAAGCAAGTCTCCAAATAAGATTGCTAACATCAAAATTTATCAATCATTTTAAATAACTTTTAATTACTTTTATGTTATTCGTATATATTTTATGTTATTCTTTTAACATCTACACATCGCACTATTTGCGACATAGTATCGCTATTTATATACGTACATACCGTAAGAATTTTTGTATAATAATAAAAATTGGTTTCAAAACCCGAATTTTTGCGATTATTTTGCACTTGATTAGAATTCCTACGCGACGACAAGCTTTCTCGAGACGAACCAAGGGTTCGAAAATTAGCGGTCTACTTTACGTATTATACGTACTTTCGCGTGTGCGCCAATTATACCTTTTATCCGATTGTGAGAGAAAGCAACTGGCATTTTTCGCGGGATGCTTAGCGCAGAGCTCGGCTCAGTTTCCGCTATTTGCATCCAAAATCCGAGAGCGATTGTCTCGATGTTTTTCATAAGACGCTTAGCGCAGAGCTCAGCTCAGTTTCCGCTAGTTGCGTCCAAAATTTGTGTTGATAGTCGACCATTATTCAATGGTCGATCGTATCAACATTGTTTCAAAATCCGTGCTCGACCATCATCGATGGGACCACGAATTTCGAATTTCCGTGCTCAATCACGAGATGAATTAAGCCATGGGATCACGAATGCATGGGTAGGCTAGGAAAGATTACGAGGAAATTGGCGTATAGCAGTAATAAATATATTTCCAAATCGTTAATAAAAAGTGCGCTCTTTAAATAAATTATTTTGAATGTAACATCAATTTTTAATTTCCGTCGCGTTTATGTAAAATATATCTTTTCTATTTTTAATGTATATTTACATACACATATGTATTTTAAAATTTTCTTATTTTTATACTTTTCTACGCCAATTTGCACAATATTTAACCTTGGCAAAATATAAAAATACAAATCACATTTAAAGAAAAGGAAAGAGGAAGAAATAAAAGCATGCACCTAACATACGGAAAAAAGAATTTTGCTATCGCAACAAAATCATCAGTGCTATTGCATATGTCATAGCGATATTAAATGTGATAGCGATAAAAAAATACATCAGAAAAATAGATAAACTTTACGAAGTACATTTATTTGTAAAGATTAATTTGCTGCTACAACATAAGAATTTATTTTCAACAAATGCATTTTGCTATTGTAACAAATTTGTCGCTGCAAATTTTAACGAACAAATAAAAACCAATTTCTCATTATGTAATAGAGATATAATTTAAAAATTTAGAAAAATTATTTTTAAAATAAGAAATTATTTTCAAATAAAATTCCATAACAAATTTCTTTGTTATCTAAATAATAAATACATGTTACTACATATTTTACTTGAATAGCTTGAATAGCCAAAATTTATTGCGCTAACAAAAAAATTTCTTTTCCGTGCATTTTTTCATATAAAAAAAAATAAATAAAAATACGTTATTTAAGATACTTACATATGTATATCCCAATATATTGGATTATTCGCAAAGTTTGTAACATTTTTATGTCATCTTTAATAATTTGTGCATATACTACTGAATAAATATGGACATATAAAAATATAGAAACTATTTTTTAATTGTGTCATAAAAAAATTCTGCAAACTTTCTAAATAACTCAACATATCTTGTTCTAATCTATTATTCGTAAAATATATGCCAAGGTTAAATATCTATCGACAAATCTAAGTCCTAGCCTATCCATTTTAAAATAATGGATCTATAAAATTATTTATTTTTTTATATTTTTATTTATAATATTATTGTATATGATTCTACAATACTTTATAATATTATATAACATTATAACATTATATGTGATTTTCTTATTATAAAATTTCTAATATTTTATTGTATTCATATATACGAAAAAAAGACTATAAAATAATAAAAGAATTCTTTTTCCCAAATCAATTAAAAATATCTCAAATATTGAATAAAAACAAATCATTCCTCGTATAATATTCTTATCTATTATATAGTTTTCATTTCATATATGTATTAATACATTGCAAACAAAAAACGTAAATCGACTATATCTTATATAGATCCATTATTTTAATAAAAAGTTGTAGATAATTTGGATTCACTCACCATGAATGATGCGCAGCAGCGGAGTTGTTGATCTGCAAAGCTGATCTGTAACACACAAAAATAAATTCAGATTAGAGCTGTGTTCAAAATGATTAATGTTTGTGAAACAATAATTGAATTTTTATTCATTTATCTACTAGCAGATATCTAATAAAATACTTATTCAAAAAAGATTTAATTATTTGGAATAATAATTGTATATGTCCAAAATTTTTAATAATTAGATATATATATATATATATATATAAATATTGAATATTGCAAATATTTTACTAAATATTTTACTAAATATTTTTAATATTGTGTGCACAACATCCCGCAAATAATAATAATAAATAACAAATGATTACTTACTCTAGAGTTGCTCCGCCGGTGCCCGATGCTCCTCCTGAGCCTCCTCCTCCACTCACAATCAGTGGTCTTCAAAGTATTCACACACGATATTGCGACGCGAATAATCGCACGGCACTTTAAACGGCACTCCCGACGCGTATTTTGTCATCTTATGACAAAAATAAAACTGCAATATTAGATGAATTATCGCACGGAACACGCATTCGACACTGTACACTGCAAAAAAATTCAAAAAATTTACACAAATAATAGATATAAAAATTACAAAATTAACATTATAAATATAAAAAATTATGAAATTTTAGAAAAATTGTAATTTCGCAAAAATTATGTACTTTTGTTTTTCATTATGTAAATATATCTTATTTTATGTGGAAAATTACACAAGTAATAGAATATTTTTTAAATCTTATGTAATTATTCAAATTTTTGTAATTCATTCATTTTAGAAACGCTTGAAAATTTTGCAACTATTATAGTAGATCTCAAAATTATCTATTATAATAGTTGCAAAACAGGTGTATACTTTTTCATAGTGTACGCAACAGGTAATGATAAAAAAGGGAAAGAAAGATGGGAAATTGTAACGAGTAATAAAAAAGATAACGCGCTGATACACGAAACGATCTGCTTCACTCAAATATCGCCGTGCGAATAGTAACAATCCAGGAGCAAAGGTCACGCTCGAAGTGTGATTTGGAAGGAGTAGGAGAAAGGAATGTGCGTACTGATAACGTGCGAGAGAGAAAGTGTGAGAGTGAGGGAGAGAAGATATACATCACATAGCGCGTACGAAAACAATAACAAACCTAATAAACCCACCCTCTTCGTCATGAGTTAGCGTCGAAATTCCTTACACAATATAAAATATTTGGCATATTACAAGACATTCTTTACGTTCCAAATTTTAATTTTAATAAATAGTTTACTATTGTATTTCTCGTTTTCTCTATCGTATCTTAAAAAAATCTTGCTTCGTATTCTTAAAATTTTTTAAATCATGGCATTTTACAATTAATAGGTAATAAATAAACGAGAAATACCTCAAAGTTGCTCCGCTGATTGCCCGATGCCCGTCCTGAGCCTGCTCCTTCTTTCAATGTAAGAGAACATGATTCACTCACGAAAATTTGATTATTATTGTGTCACGACATTTTATGCGGCACTCCCGACGCGTACTTTATTACTGTTATCTGTAAAATACAAAATAACACCCAAATTATAGCAACTTTTAGAATAATTAATATCAGATAAATAATTGTGCATATTAAATATTTTATTTGTCTTTCAAGCAAATAGTTAAAAAAAGAATTATTAAAAATTTGTGTCTGAAATAATATATATAATATTGTAAATATATAAAAAATCTAATAATCATATATATTAAATATTGTAATATTGTAAATGTTTTACTGAAAATTTCAACTATTTTATTATGTACAACATTTTGCAATTAATAGATAATATATAAATGAGATATACCTTAAAGTTGTTCCACCGATGTCCGATGCCCATTCTACGCTTTGTCCTCCTCCTCTCAGTATGGAAATACAATTACTTCCAAAAATCTTGTTAATTTTTATATCGTGCTACATTTTATACGATACGTATGGTACGATATGTATTCTCGACGTACTTACATAAGAACGAAGATAATATACACAGATACCATCGCACGGATACATTCGGCATTCTGTAAAAAACAACCGAAGGATATTTATAAGAAATAATTTTATCTCACCGAGATAGCGAAAGAGATTTTAGAGGTTATTTGTAATGAGAGAGTAATAAAAGTAATATGGAACTTGTTAGGATGGTTGGAATGATAGAAATAATGTACCGATATGCTACGATACACGATCCGCCCTATACGAGTATCGCCGTGTGAAAGATAACATGATAATACCAAACACAACATCACGCAAATTTAGATTTGAAAGAATCGTGGAATGTACGCGCTAAAATGTACGCAGATGTAGCGTTTGAACGTGTGTGAGAGAGAGAGAGAGAGAGGGAACACGAGTTTCGCGAGTGGCCGTATGGTGGGGTTGTGTTGTCGTCGCGGTCGCGGATCACGTAGGCCTCATATTCTCTCTCACTCTTTCTCACTCTTTCTCTCTTGCGCTGTATGTGGGCGCGCATATTCTACCTATTCCTTGAAATCAAAACTGTGTGAGACCGTGTTTTTGCTGTTATCCTGTTGCTAATGTCCTGTGTTTTTCGCAAGCGATAGTCGTACGGAGCGAATCGAGTATCAGGGTGTATCGGTGCGTTACTTTTATTATCTTAACCATCCAAATAACTTCCGTAGTACACTCTTTTTACTACTGTCTCAGTACAATTAACCTCAAAATCACTACCCCGGTGAGATAATTACTTTTTACAAATATCATTTTGTCATTTTCTAAAGAAAGTCGAACGTGCGATAATATATTCGAGTATTATTTTTTTTCTTATATGATAAAGTATCTCGACTCGTATTCCCTCTATCTTTCTCTCACGTTCACACGCTAACATTCAGCGCACATTTCAGCGCGTACATTTCACGCATTCTCTCAAATCTAAATTTGCACCATCTTGTTTTTGGCATTATTCTGTTATCTTTCGCACGGTGATACTCGTACAGGGTGGATCGTGTATCGAAGCATATCGGTACGCACGTAGCGGGAGTGCCGTATAAAATGTCGCGCGTAATAATTAATCAGATTTTCGCGAGTGAATCGCGCGTAAATCGTGTTCCCTTATACTGAGAGGATGAGCAGGCTCAGGAGGGATATCGGGCATCGGCGGAGCAACTTTAAGGTATTTATCTTCATTTATTATCTATTAATTGTAAAATATTGGAAATAACACGGTTGTTTAAAAAACAAATGAAAGGTACGCAATGTATGTAATTATATTTTTAATACTAATTAATTTAAACTTTGCTATAATCAGAATGTTCTTTTGTGTTCTATAAATCAACTTTGCAGATCAACGGAACAACAACTCCGCTGCTGCGCATCGTGCCGGTGAGTAAATTCAATACAGAGAGGACGTGGCGTAGGACGGGCATCGGACATCGATGGAGCAACTTTAAGGTATATCTCGTTTATTTATTACCTATTAATTGCAAAATGTTGTACATAATAAAATAGTTGAAATTTTCAGTAAAACATTTACAATATTACAATATTTAATATTTATAATTATTAGATTTTTTATGTATTTACAATATTATATATATTATTTTAGGCACATAAATTTTCAATAATTCTTTTTTTAACTATTTGCTTGAAAAACAAATAAAATATTTAATTTGCCCAATTATTTATCTGATATTAATTATTCTAAAAGTTGCTATAATTTGGGTGTTTTTTTGTATTTTACAGATGACAGCAACGCGTCGGGAGTGCCGCATAAAATGTCGTGACATAATAATAATCAAATTTTCGTGAGTGAATCATGTTCTCTTACTGAAAGAAGGAGCAAGCTCAGGACAGGCATCGGGCAATCAGCGGAACAACTTTGAGGTATTTCTCGTTTATTTATTACCTATTAATTGTAAAATGCCATGATTTAAAAAATTTTAAGAATACGATACAAGATATTTTTATGATACGATAGAGAAAACGAGAAATACAACAGTAAACTATTTATTAAAATTAAAATTTGGAACGCAAGGAACGTCTTATAATATGCTAAATATTTTATATTATGTAAGGAATTTCGATACTAACTCATGACGAAGAGGGTAGGTTTATTAGGTTTGTTATTGTTTTCGTACGCGCTATGTGATGTATATCTTTTCTCCCTCACTCTCACACTTTCTCTCCCGCACGTTATCAGTGCGCACATTCCTTTCTCCTACTCCTTCCAAATCACACTTCGATCCTTCAGCGCGACCTTGTCTTTGCTCTTGGGTTGTTACTATTCACACGGCAATATTTGTGTGAAGCAGATCGTTTTGTGTATCGACGCGTTATCCCTCTTATTACTCCTCAAGTTTCTCATCTTTTTTTCCCTTTCTTATCATTACCTGTTGCGTACACTATGAAAAAGTATACGTCTGTTTTGCAACTATTATAATAGATAATTTTGAGATCCACTATAATAGTTGTAAATTTTCAAGCGTTTCTAAAATGAATGAATTACAAAAATTTGGATAATCACATAAGATTTAAAAAATATTCTATTATGTAATTTTCCACATAAAATAAGATATATTTACATAATGAAAGACAAAAGTACATAATTTTTGCGAAATTACAATTTTTCTAAAGTTCCATGATTTTTTATATTTATAATATTAATTTTGTAATTTTTATATCTATTATTTGTGTAAATTTTTTGAATTTTTTTGCAGTGTACATGGCAGTGTCGAATGCGTGTTCCGTGCGATAATTCATCTAATATTACAGTTTTATTTTTGTCATAAGATGACAAAACACGCGTCGGGAGTGCCGTTTAAAGTGCCGTGCGATTATTCGCGTCGCGATATCGTGTGTGAATACTTTGAAGACCACTGAGAGGAGGAGGAGGCTCAGGAGGAGCATCGGGCACCGGCGGAGCAATTCTAGAGTAAGTAATCATTTGTTATTTATTATTATTATTTACGGGATGTTGTGCACACAATATTAAAAATATTCAGTAAAATATTCAATAAAATATTTGCAATATTCAATATTAACATCTGATTATTAAAAATTTTGGACATATACTATTATTATTCCAAATAATTAAATCTTTTTTCAATAAGTATTTTATTAGATATTTTGCTTAGATAAATGAATAAAAATTCAATTATTATTTCACAAACATTAATCATTTTGAACGCAGCTCTAATCTGAATTAATTTTTGTGTGTTACAGATCAGCTTTGCAGATCAACAACTCCGCTGCTGCGCATCATTCATGGTGAGTGAATCCAAATTATCTACAACTTTTTATTTAAATAATGGATCTATATAAGATATGGTCGATTTATGATTTTGGTTTGGAATGTATTTATACAAAGATAATAACAAAATTTTGGGTGGACAAATAGCAAGATTCTCTTCCGCAAGAATAGAAGAAGTTTCTTGCATATAAGGATTTTAATGCTTTTTATTGCATTTCTATATTTAAAAAAAATATTCTTTGCTGTCGATAAACTTCTGCTTTGTTAATTGATCCCATGGTTCCAACTGAGCCGAGCTCTGCGCTAAGCATACCGCGATGTAAGAAAAATACGGCGATATAGAGACACTATTGCTTTAAGTAAAAGAAATAAAAGTTTAAAATTTTTGAGGTTTGACAATTATTATAAATACACACGGAAAAGTGCTGTAAATATTTATTTTTTTTATTAGTAACTTAATGTTTTCAATATTTTCTTAAATTTGTCTAAATTTTCAGATTGTATTACATTCATAATTTGTCTTCAGACATAGCAAAATTTATTTAATTATGTTTTAATTTAATTGCAAATATTTTACTATTGCCAGCTTTTGCTATAATTATTTTACATGAACATGACGATAATATAAAATGAGAAATTATCTCATGCCGACAAACGGCTGACGAGAATATGGTCCATTAAGAATTTCATGAAACTTCTCGCAGGGATTAGCATATGGAGAAGATTTACGATGTAAAGTACGATCGCGCCACATATGGCGCAATCCATTTTACTTTCCAACATACCATCAAACCACACGTGGTGTTACTGGTAATGAAAGAGTTGATCGATCGTACATTGTAATTAAATAATTCATCTTGCATTTTGTCATATTCTCATTACTATGTATAACTCTTTAATAATTAAGTTAAAAAGTCAAACGCAGTTACTTTTCCATTTTTACTATAATTTTGGAAATGAATATCGCAAGTATTGCAAAACTTTTTTTCCTAAAAATTAAAATGATGGAGGTTAGAATGAAGAATGATTAAAGTGATGAAGTCATTAAATACTTTTACAATATACACAATATTGTGTATTTCTGAAAATGTTTTCACAATTTATATCGTTAAAAGAAATACATAAAATATTTTAAAGAAATTTCGTTAAGGTTAACTTTTTATTTCGCTCAAGGCGCAAATGAAATTAATAATCGTTAATTACATTTTTATTTCTATTATGGATCGTTAAATTGCAAGCGCGGAGAATTATAGGCAAGTTTAGCTCGTTGCGTTAGGGATTTATGTCAGAATGAAATCCTCTTATATGTCATTTCTTGTTAGTAATATAATACATTGTAACGCGGAGAACAAAAGAATTGAAAAGTCTTGTTCTTTTATAGCCTGGAGCAAAAACATTAGAGATGCAACAAATCTTAAATAATACTTATGATGATGTTTTCTTTCAACTTTATATTTATAGTTATAAAAGTAAATTTATTCTTATTATATTTTCTCCATATTTTTTACAACACTAATTAAAAAATCCTTTTACTGCGATTTTTCTTTCATCTGTTCTTCAAGATTTAAATTTTTGTTCTCTTTGAGACGTATAATATTAAAACATTTTATTAATAAATTTGTAGATTTTATCGTAACTCTATCTGAAAAAAGCGATAAATTAATTTTATTTAATTTAATACACGCTTAGTATTTGATATTATACATACATAATTTATTATTAGACTTTAAGATGCTCCTTGATTTAAAAGATAATTTGAAAGTGTAACATTACAGAACTATTTTGCAGATTTCGAGATTTTCAGTAACATTAGTAAAATTGTTTGTTGAGAAAAGCTTTTCTATATTCCTTATAGGATTAATTCTGTACTGTTTCCGCAATTTTTTCTCGCAAAATTCTATATACTGTAATTTTATTACTAAGATGGGCGAAATATCGAGAGAAACATTGCGCGGTACAGTATTTAAGGGTTTCTCGTGGCGAAGAATTATGGTATGGAATATGTGGCGAAGAGCAGAAGCTGTTCTTTTGTAGAAAGTACGTGATGCCACTACGAATATCAGTAGACTCGCAGCTGACGCTGATTTCTTCTTTAAGCCTTATCTCAAGACCGCAGGTAATACGATACAGGATTACGTGGTTTCCGGGACTGTTACAGGATTATGGTAGATTGTGCCTTCGAACCCTGTAACGCTCGAACGCCGTTGTCATTGCGTCTTGTAATCTGGCCAAGACCAAGATTAAAACACTCAGCCAGGCTTTATCCGCGAGCAAACTTTTAGAAAAGTTCAAATATGTAACGACAGTTGGTCCGTCTATAAAGATATTTTTTTTGGAATTTAAAGTTAAGTTGGACATCTTTGCTTTTTTAAGAAGTTTTTGATAATTTTTTAAGAGGTATTTTGAGCCAGAAACTGAAAAAAGATGTATATAATTTTCCTGGCATTTTTTGAATCTTTAGAGTTTCAAAAATAAGCTCTTAAGAGATTTTTTAATTATAAGAAAATTATATAATTATTGCGGGCGGATTAGGTACATCTGAACTCTAAATTTGAAATGAACTTTTTTTAATTACTTTTTTAAGCTTATTGTTACAATTTCTCAAAAGATATTAAATCATTCAAAACTAGAATTTTTTACTTTCAAAATACATATTCTAATCCCTCTTTAAAGTTGATCAAAATCGTTTGAGTAACGAAAATTTTGATAACAGTTTTAATTTGCTAATTTCTTTCTACATAGTCCTCTTGCATTTTAATTTACTGACCTTCTCGATACATATTGCTTTTGGACGCAGCAAGCTGTAATGGGTTTATTACATTGTCAGGGGGAGCGCATCGTAAAGACTATTTCGATGTGCCATGCCAGACGATGGCCATGGTACGCGTTAAGTGTATTACAATACATCCTGGTGGTTTTGTCAGTATGTTCCATGCCGTTAAAGTTCCGTCGAAACTCTATAAGCGAAGTCCTTTGAGCAGTTGCAAAGTTAAAGGCAAGGTTCTATTGCTATCGGAATATTCATGGAACGCATAATCAATAAATGCAATTGGTGCAATAAATTAGATGATGTAGTGCTCTAACATAATTATCAAACTTTAATTATATTATTTTTTAGTAATATTATTCACGTTATGAATTGTCTCGTTATGAATTTGTTCTCTCGTATGTCGATTACGGAACTATCGCGACAGAGTATATCATCTTACAATTAGATCTTTGTTGAAAAAATGTATTATTGAAAACAGTAAATATTTTATTGATATATTAAAAAGATATAAAATCTGAACAAACAAAGAGTCAGAGTTACAACGGAAGCGTGCGAATAAATTCAATCAAAAGTTGCAAATTACTATGTAAATAAAAGTAAGCGAAAACGAGATGAGATAAAAGTGATTTAGCTTCCAGTTTTACATTAATGTTGATTAACTTCAAAATACCAAGCATTCCAAATGTAAAAAAATAAAAATTTTTGTATTATTTATGAGAGAAGCGTCTTAAAGTGTACAATTCTAAAATATAAAAAATACAAGGAGAAAATATCAATTCTTTGTCATCAAATCTCGATTCTTTGACAATGTTAGAAAAAATAAAACATACATTGCGGCAAGGAGAAAAAAAACTTGAAAAAAAAGGAGAAGAGAAATAAAAAGATAAGATTACCTGGAATAGTGAAACACATTTTTTGAATATCTTTTAATGAAGGTGCGAGAAAAGTTGGCGAGGCGACATTTTCTCCACTTTCATCGGTCGGGAAAATCCGCGGAATGGTAGCGAGCGTCGAGGGAAAAGGAAAAAATAAAAAAAGGCTCGTTAGCGACGACGAAAGTATCGGCGGTTCGCCACAGTCGCGCTAATCTCGCAGTAATCACATTTCACGTAATTAGCAGCTGATTCTCATTCGTTTTTGCCAAGCGGGTGCTTGTCGCTGCTGGTTAATGAGCCATAGACCATCGCGCGTGCAGCTGTGTAGCACGTAAACGATATTCGAGGTAAAGCGTTATTTTATTTTTAGTTTGGAATTTGTAAACTTTACACATTTGTAATATACTTTTATTTAATTCTTTTGCTACTAATGGCAACAATCACCGACCGCTGAGCACTTGCTGTGTGTTATTCAATGGTTATTATAGTCATTCTAGAAAATTCTTTTATCTAGCAAAAAAGGTTTTATTCTTTTGATTCATAATTTTTAATATGTTAATAATTATATCGCAAATAAGATTTTATAAAGAAAATGACTTACACACTTTTTGCTATCAAATATGTAACAATTCGCGGAAATTCTTAAACAAGATCGTTTAGTTTAATTTTAATACAAGATGAAATAGATGATTTTTAACATCAGTTCCGGAACAATATTACTTCTGAATGATATACGGTGTATCCGAAAGTCCCACAGTACTTTGCTGTGTCTTGCAAATCAAAATACGCAGAAAGTTCTGTATGATTTTACGAAGCATAAAAGTACAGTTTCATTTGAAAACTGTCGTCGTGAAATCGTTAAAGTTGAAAAGTGTCGCGGCCTGTCAAAGAAGTGATCTTAAAACGGGGTTAGTGCGCACGAACGGAATACTTCGCTGAGGCAGGGTAGCTTTAAAAGACTTTTGCAGTTTCTGCCAATCTCCATCAAGCATGTAATAACGTCGGTAGAAAGGCGCGAAGAGAGATTAGTATAGTATTATCGTCAATCAACGATAAAACGTTGGCTGAAAGACGATGATCTTCCTTGGCGGTGTTATAGCAATTTTCATTTAACGCCCGCGCGCGATCGTAAGATATAACGATATTGTTATCAGGCGTGCAAATAATAATGTACAATATAAAATGATTGTGCGTCACAACGTAGCATGCAATTCTGCAAATAGTAAAACTTGTACTATCTTATTGCTTCAAAAGTCATAAAAATGCAATAAATTAGGAAATAATACTGAAAGTTTTCCACCTCGGATTTCTTTCGTTGCCGCGTAACGCGAAAACTCGTTGGATTATTCCCTTGACGATTA